ACCACTATCAATCTGTCTGCTTAATCATCTGTGAACCTAAGAACTTTCTACCTCCCAAGGACAAGTGACGAAAAAATTAAAAAGAAACAGAAGAAATTAGAGGGAAGGAATTGAGCTAACTGATCAGCAGTGCTTTTCTGCTCAGTTCCCCAGGTGATGTTTAGGACGTTAGGTACTTTTCTGAATAAGTCTTTTCCCATTTTCTGATGCAGCCTCTAGAGCTAGTTATCCTCAGGGAAGAGAGAAAACAAGGCATAGAAACTAGGTGGGTCTTATCCAGTCCCCAAAACATTAACTGATGAGAGATCAACTGCTGTGTGCTGCTGGAATAGTTCAGAGGTTTGTGGCTCAGCATTGTGCATCTTGTACGGTTCTCCCATGACTTTGGGACTAGAAAAGGTACAGCCTCCCAGAAATTAATAGTTGGCTCCAACCATGAGTTACTTTTGACCTGTTGTTAGCAAATAGAAACTAAGCCAAACCAATTAAGGGGAGATGGAGGGAGGAGGGGGGTGCTTGAAAATCCCAAGGCAATGCTGGAAGTCTGCAGCCAAGCATCAGTCTTTAAGATATTATGGCATTTGGTTCCAGTTCAGAAAATCCTTCCTTCTGTATCTGTCCTCTCTAAATCAGCCTGACATTTCATGGTTGGTTTTTTTTTCCATCTGTTCTAATTAGCCCATTTTCTGATACCATCTTTCATAGTCTCTACCAAGTTCTGCCAAGTGTTTAAAGACCAAAACAAAATGCCAGACATTTGTGACTCCATCTATCAATTCTCCTTTAAGTAAAAAGCAAGCTGGTGGTTGAGTAAAAAGGGGAGACCTGCAATGGTAGTGTTCCCAGGACTTCATGCATGAGGTTTTAGTATCACTTTCTTGGGCTGGGACAAAGGTTTCAGAAACAAATGCTGACGTTTTGCTTTGAAAGAAAAGGAACGCCATCGCTGTCATTATTGGCTGGTTTCTGGAGAGCTGTCCCTAAACTGTAACACATTAAATTCTGATTGAATACAGGGAAAAGTTCTCAAAAGCAGAGTTGTGAGACTTTCGTTTGAAAGCACTGACATATTGCTAGTGGGATTTTTAAAACAAAGAGCATATTTGGACTGAGGTGTTTTTTTTTGGGGGGGTGATTCTTTTTTGTTTTTTCCTCACTGGAAGTGGAGCTGATATGCACTTTAACAAGTACCTACTTGGTGCATGACTTCCCCTTTTTCTCTTGACCAAATCAACAGAGGAGGGAAGGAGCATGAGCAACGCCATGAATTAAAGCACAGCCTCCTCCAGGCACCTCAAATACCACACTTGTGTTCACCCCAGCACTTGCCAGCATGTACCAGTAACAATATTTACTGTGCGCAGAAGAGAAACACATCTTCCTCACCTTCAATCTGATCAGCAGTGAATTCAACCTGAAAAAAAAAAAAAAAAAGAATAACAGCCAGATAAAACCCAGAAAACAGAAGCAAACAAGAAGAAAACTGGTTTAGTCTTTGTCATATGTTTTTAGGTGGTTTTAAGGTCCATGAAAGAGACTTACTTATAATGCCAAGACAATAATTTTATAGAGCCTATAGATTCTTGTTTTTTTCCTCCTCCACCTTCGCCATCCCCATCTTTAGGGCCTCTGCCCTTCAGATGCCCTTTATTCTTTTGCTGCTCTTGTGTTCCTGCTGTAGTCTCTTTCCTTTATCCCAAGTGATTCCCCACTGCTCACACTCTCTCCAGAGACGGTTATGGTAGCAGCAGGGTACTTTCATGAAAGGATTTTATCTGTAGACAAATGGGGATCCATAGTTTTTTCCAGTGAAAGAACTAAGGGTTATCAAGTGAAGCTGGCACAAATCAGGCTCAAAGGAAAGTGAAGGAAGTGGTTTTTTTTTTTTTCTAATAGCTGAACTGTGGAAAGCTGGTTATGGGATACTGTGGATGTTCAGTCTACACATGTGTAAAGAGTCACAGGACCATTTCAGGGGAAAGTAATATATTTCTGTACAGTACAGAGTATACTAAAATACATAGTTTAGGAAGTGTCTGTGTGAGGTTTAGGACAGTGTTCTGGGGAAGTTTTCCCTAGTTCTTGTACCTTTTCCAAAAGTACCCTCTAATAACCACTGCTGTACTACATTGGACAACTCTCTGGACCTTGCTCTGACTCTGCAATATATATCATGTTCTCACCACTTCATATTTCCACCTGTTCCCTAAGTTTTGGGGTTGTCATGCTCCATATTTTTACCTGGCACAGCACTCTAGTGGCTGTGGACTTCAAAAATGCTACAAGATGCCAAAAGGCTGCTGCTGAGCTCAAATGAAAAACAAGGAAAACTAATGCCAGTGTGAGGTCCAAGCTTCTGCATGAACAGGCACAGGACAGCAATGTGAATTTACACCAGAATTTAAACCTGCCTCTGCAAACGAACAGGTTGGGAACATTCCTGCAGTGCAAGAAGACAGGCAGGTTGCCCTTATGGTAAATACATAAATAAACAGAAATAATATTTTGCTACACAAAATTGGATAGATTAGATATAAGGAGGAAATTTTTTCCTGTTAGGGTGGTGAGGCACTGGAATAGGTTGCCCAGGGAGGTTGTGAATGCTCCATCCCTGGAAGTGTTCAAGACCAGGTTGGATGAAGCCTTGGGTGAGATGGTTTAGTGTGAGGTGTCCCTGCCCATGGCAGGGGGGTTGGAACTTGATGATCTTAAGGTCCTTTCCAACCCTAACTATTCTATGATTCTATGAAACATATAAATGAATATGTGCAAAGCATACGCTTGGGAAACACCTAACAGTACATGAGTGGATGCCCTTGGAATCATTCCTCTGAAATAGACTCATAGAATAGTAGAATGGTCTGGGTTGAAAGGGAGCTTAAAGATCACCTAGTTCGGCCACCCTTGCCACAGACAGAGACACCTTCCACTTATACCCCTCCCCAACATATGTACAACCTCACACATTTTGTGTTAGATTTTCCATATGAAGCTGACCACCTTTCATTGTTTAGTGTCAGGTTTTGTTCCTTGGTAGCAAAGCATCCAAGTGGAAAAAAGGCTTAGTGCAAACCTCAAACTCCTTATTTCCTTGTTTCAAGGTGAAATGCAACATGACTCATCCCTTCATCATCTGCTTGGGGTTTTCATAATATTAAAGGATGGAGCTGTTGTAACTCCCCGCTTTCTAGCCAGGATGGTTGTGTCATAGCAGAACATGACAACACCAATCTCTTCATTTCACCCAGGGTTCAGTGAACGGCTCCGAGGCACTTCTCTCTCTCCAGATACCCTGAGCAGCACGAGGAGCTCTAGCACGCATAGGACACATAGGGTCTACAGTTCTGATACAGACAGCCTAAAACTCGTATTTCTGACCAGTGATCTCCTTATCCCTCCCTAACATAGTGTTTCTGAACATCTTCTGGCTTAGGACAAGGAAGAACTAGAAAATATCTGGTGGACTTGGAAGGCAGGACTCAACACTAATCCTGCAATTATAGAAAATCAGGCCACTATTTTTCTGTCTGCCCTGTTCACTTTTTACCTGAACTAGCTCATTCAGGGGATTACCACTTTGTTTGCAATTCTCAGTCATGATTTACCTTGAACGAAATCAAATCAATAAAATAGCTACCAAAGTGACATCTAGAAAGCTGTCTGGAAGAAAGTATATAACAAATGTAATAAAGGAGCCCCCAGAAGAATAGCAGTGCTCTTCCCTTTTCTAACACATGGAGGGATACAAACACATATATTTCATGAACTGTAGGATCATGGAATAGTTTGGGTTGGAAAGTACCTTAAGATCATCCAGTTCCAACCCCCCTGTCATGGGCAGGGACACCTCACACTAAACCATGTCACCCAAGGCTCTGTCCAGCCTGGCCTTGGGCCCGAAGAGGGATGGAACATTTATCACTTCTTTGGGCAACCTGTGCCAGTGCCTCACCGTCCTCACAGTAAGGAACTTCTTCCTTATATCTAAAGTGAATTTCCCTTGTTCAAGTACGAACTAGTTACCCTTTGTTCTATCACTACAGTCCCTGATGAAGATTATAGTCATCTAGATTGTGTCCTATCCCAAATCCACATACCTTAGTGAATGATAAATAAATACCCATCAGGGAATACATTTATACAGGTGCATTGTCAGCAGCAGCCTTATGCCCAATGTGTCTAATTATATCAAGCTTTGAGAATTTGACTGAAGGTAGTCACATATTGAATTTATTCAGGCATCAATAGCCAATGTGGGTGAAATGCATCCAGAGGTGCTGGCAACTCATATTTAAATCACTGTGGTGGATTGTTCTTGGGAAAGAATTCGTGTCAGCTACACTTAGATTAGACATTCAGATGTGTCAATGACCCCACATGTGCTTTGTACCAATAGAAGGGAATAGGCACTTGTAGGGTGATTTGACTTGGTTTAAGTCTATAGTTGGGGAGAAGGTTAGTTATGCTCTCCTTTTCACTCAGTGGACCAATCAGTCCTCTGATGATGATGAAAGACTCTGATGATGATAAAAAGAATGTGAGCAACTAGCAGAGATGTAGATGTCCTTTTCTGATCTGATGACTCCCACTTGGAAAGCTTGAGGCTAGACTTCTGGCAGACTGCAGATCAGGACAAACTGTGCCAGAGCAAAAAAAGAATCACTGTGGCTGCATCAAAAGGAAGGTTTGAGCTGAAGGGCTGAGTGTGCCTCACTTCTAATCATGGCCCTATAAAAACATCACCCAGAGCTGGAGCACCATGTATGACAACTGGCAAGACAGTGGCAGACAGTTTGACCAGACCTACCACCCAGGCACAGTTTCCTCTCAGGAAAGCTGCAGATATGCGTGGGTGGCAGCTGCTGGTATTTTCTCCCTTCTCAGCACATACCACCATGGAGTTGTAAGAAGAGACAAGTCATTATTTGCCCAGCCACAAGGTATCATTGCAGACAAATGGAACAAAGTCCAGGCTATATTTAGACTGAAGACGGCTGGGGTTTTATTTTCCCTCCCATCTCCCTCAGAGTGGTGTGAGCATACAAAACCAGAGTCATCTCTGTGTACCAAGAGCAAGGGGGTTGAGGTGTCCATGAGAACTGTTCTGGAGACCCCAGACAGGAGGGATTCAGAAGACAAGCAGTAAGGTTAGGTTCAGCCTAAACCAAACAGTGGGCAAATGAGTCTCAGTGCATTGTACCCACAGTGACCCATATCCATGCTTTGAGGCACCTCTGTCTGCTGCTTTAATGCAACAGGCATCCAAGGGAGTGAATGCCTCCAGGGGTATGTCTGATGCCCACTCCTGCACCAGGCACTTACAGTGCTACACACCAGCATCACCCCACACTTCACTGAGCCTGGTCAACAAAGCAGCCATCATCATCCAGAGCTGGAGGCTGCAAAACCTATTCACAGTCTTAAAGTGAATTTACTTTCCCCTATATGGCTTTACATTCTCCAGTTCCTCCGAAGCAGACTTGTGGTTTTGTTTATTTGTTTGTTTGTTTGCTTGCTTGTTTGTTTGTTTTAAATACACTGGTACTTCAGAACAATTGATTTTCCCCTGGCATTTTTCCTGCTGGCAACTGAGGTTTTAAAGCAAAGGCACTGCTATGAGTGCCAAGCATCCACAGCACCACGGCTCACAGTAGTAGTGTTTGATGATGCTCACTGCTAATATCTTTCCACTTGTGTCCTGCCCTAGTGTGGGCCATGTCACGTGTTCTTTAAAGACACCAGACATCTGAATAAGCATTTTTCTATAACAAACTGGAAGTATGATGCCAGCTTTCTTGGTCTTTTAGCAATCTTGGCTTGAGGGGATCATCACCTGGCCACTGGTGGTATCAGCTGTAGCCCTAATGCTACTGTCCTCTTTGCCTGAACCATGACATTCAGCTGTTTTTTTTCCAGAGACACCAGGAGGGATACATGCACCCACTGGTGCTGTTAAGGTCATTCACAGCTTCATATCTCAGTGAATTTTTTATAAAGCCATAGTATCTCAATCAAGGACATAACCCTGCGCATGATAAATCAGACATAACTAAGCCTGAAATAAGTCCTATTAATAAAACTGTTGCTAACCAGCTGTCAAGAGGTTATCTGGGGGCAAGCATTTAGACAATGCAAGCAAGGATCCCGTCCAGAAAAGAAACTATACCTCTTGTTTCATAGTACATTGAGGAATCTTAATACAAACAGCAAGATTTTCGCTTAGCCATGACAGGGATAGTTTTAGAGAAGGAGAAAGGGTTTTTTTACTGTGTTCTTGGGAAACTGATTTAGGAGGCAGAAATGCAGCAGATGGAAAGAGGCCCAGAAGGCCATCAAGATCAGTATCGTTGTGTTGAGGTTACATTTGTATTTCACAAGTATGTGTTTTTTTCCAGCAAGACCTTTTTAAATCTATTAATACACATAAGCCCATCACTTTCTGCGCAGAACAGTTACAATGTACGCAAACTCCTCTGCCCATGGGGAAGCTTTGACGTGTGGTCAAGTTTCATACAGCTCCATCCTTTCCTGTTGTTTGCTAGTCAGTCCTGATCTATCACCTCCTCTGCCTTCTGAAACTGTTTTGGTACATCTACGTTTAGCTCCCGAGGCTGTCCTAAGGACTTTCCTCATTATTTCTACTCAGGTCATGGTCTGAAGGGAAGGAAGTTATGATACAACATACAGACATTGACTAGTATAAGAGCACATGACACTACAAGATCCTCTATCTGGTCTTCATGGGGAACAGCTAAAATATAACAAATATTTTGAAGAATGGAAACACAACCATAAAACTCTATTGATACTTTGTTTTTTCAGGTTTTTGTTTGGTCCCCAGCGTTTTCAGAACAAAAATTATTGCAAGTTGAATTGAAATGATAGTTCATTTTGGAGTGGCAGAAAATACATCATTTGGGAGTTGAATAAAGGACTGAATCTTTGACCTTTTACAACACTTAACTATACTGATAATGAAAGTGAAGTGAAAATAGAGTGCAGCCATTATTTTCAGCTGAATTAGTGAAGCCTTTCATAAAATCCTAGTATCCCAGTTTGGAAAGGACCTCAGGGATCACCTGGTCCAACCTTTCTAGGCAAAGTATGACCTTCACTAGATGGCCTAGCATCTTGACCAGTTGAGTCTTAAAATAATCCAACACTGGGAAGTCACCACTCTCTGGAGAGATTATTCTAGTGGCTTATTGTTCTCACTGTGAAAATTTTTCCTCTTGTGACTAGTGGAATCTCCCCAAGAGTGACTTGTTTCCATTACTCTTCATCTTTCCAAGTGACTTTCATTAAATGATATGTATTTCAAGATCCAGAAAATGACGCAAAGCTTTTGTCAAGGTCGTGCAGAGGATGCTGCTACATAAGGAAATACACAAGCATATTTTTTCCCCCAGCCTGCACTCTATTTCACCAGAAGATGGTCACCTTGAGTCTTCCTTATGTCTGAGTTTCCCATGAGCTTAAAAATTATAGCAGTATATCACCATTGCTCCTACTATAACTTCAGCAGACTTTATAACTTCCAGATCCCTACTTTATTTTGGAATAAGTCTGGACAACGTCTGCTAAACTGTGGCTTTTTATTCACCTGGTCTCTCAAGAAGTAGGTGAAAAAGCCTTGTGTGAAGAAGGAGCAGAGTCACCTTCAACACTGATGCTCTGCATCCTCAGCCTGAACTAAAGCTCTGAGTGGCATTGCTTCTTGATTTCTTGTACATACCTTCTGGGGTTGAAGGAGCAGTGCACTTTTCAATCACTGTGTTTTTCCAACTCTAGTAGTAGTCTATAAATTGATAGCGCCCTTTCTTGTATGAGGAATGTGTTGCCATAACTTTCTGGAGTATAAACGGAAATTCCAGAGCCCCAACAGGAGAATGACACAGCCACTTTGGCAGACTGTGACAGCTTCTGGCAATGGCCAGGACCAGAAACATAAAACACTTTAAAGACTGACTGTTCTTCCTGTAGCAACATGGTTTTGGAGTCTCCAACCATTGACAGCTGGCTTCCAGCCTTCCTTGCAATTTCCCCCTTTCACCAGCCTCACCAGCAGATGTTTGTTCAGATGTTCACAACCAGTGGAAGAAATTAGGAAACCTAAAAAAAATACCCTCTGTTAAATCCTGGATAGGAGCCTGGGATGTAGGAGAGGTCAGACTCTGCTTTCTGGTTGAAGTAGACAATAGCTCATGGGATGGTTCTTTAATGAGAAGAGCCTCAAAGATACAGCTTGTGAACCACATTGCAGCACTTCCTAGAGGATTCAGACCCTCAAACCTCCTGGTAAGTGGGTGCTAAGAAGGAAAAAGGTCCTTCTTTCAATCCACATCCATGGGCACAGGTGTACTCCACAATTTCACACATAATTATGGAACAGCATTGCACTTGTGCCCCTTGCAAAATTACCGTCTTAAAATGGAAGGTCTCCAACAAGACAGGGAAATTAATCACCAGGTAATACACTTGGTGAATATATTGATAAGTGCCCAGGAAAAGAGAAACTCTTCGGTATTTCATTTGACAAACAGCTTAAGAAAGAAAAAAAATGAGGCATTATTATTATCATTATTATTATTACACTTATTTTGATATGTAAATCCCTTTCTCTTTCATTTCCAAAGTGAAATGTTTTCCCTTGTAAATACTGGCAGCTTTTTCTTTATTATTATTATGTTTTATTTTAAATTCAAATGTTTTCCCATTGAAGTGGGGTATTTTGTGTAAAATTGACTTAAAGATCCTCACTCCTCTGTATTATATCATTCCAAACCCTACCAAAACAATTCTTTTGGGGCTGAGCAAATCCATTTCAAGTGGCCAAAAAAGGATTTTTGTGGGTTTTTGAAAACTCCTGAAAATTCAAGCTACTTGCTTCTAATTTCCCCACCAAGCCCAAAAACAGCCACCCTTTGCAGAATTAATTTTTTTTCTCAGATTACACAGTTGTGTAACTCCTCCAGGTTTCTGACTGATGTGTCAGTCACTCTAGCAGTAAATGAGACCATGTGAGACATCAAGTTGGCCTTGGTAAAATAAGCTTGATGGGTCTCAGGAAAGGCATAGCAGGAAGGCATCTGTAAAGCAAAGTCTCCTGGAAGATAAGGAGTCTATTTGGAATATAAGAATCATAGAATCATAGAATGGTTTGGATTGGAAGGGACCTTAAAGCTCACTTATTTCCAACCCCCTGCCTTGGACAGAGACACCTTCCACCAGACCAGGTTGCCCCAAGCCCCATCCAACCTGGCCTTGAACACTGCCAGGGATGGGGCAGCCACAGCTTCTCGGGGCAACCTGTGCCAGTGTCTCACCACCTCACTTCACAGGGCCTCACCACCCTTGTATACCACGCCACCACCTACATGGAAGCTGAAGCTGTTGCTCATACACAGCGAGGTCCACCAGGTAACAAAATACCTTAGCAAAGTACCTCCACCATCAGCAGCAGACGCCAGAACCATCTACCATGCTTTTCTTCTTCTAGGGTCTAGTCTGACAGTGCTTTATGGCCCAGAAGCACATGCAAAAGAGCTTCAGTGTCCTGGGTAAGAAATACGAAGTTTTTCCCAGACACAACCCTAAACTGTGGGGCTCACACAGCAATACGATGCAAACATCACACTCCCCCAATTCTGTCCCAGAGGTGTTATCTCCATCATCAACATTGCAGCCACCATCACCCCAAGCCCTCCCAGGGATGGAATGATGCCAGCCTCCAGCCCCTGGCAAATCCAGTCCATCCTGACGCACTTGCACCTCCTGCAAAATCAAACAGTAGCTGGACCCGTTTAAGATGTCACACCCCTGTCTTGAAAAAAAATACACCAAACCACCCAATCAACAGGATTAAGTGCCAAAGAGTCACCATGATAACATGCTGGCAAGGGAAAGAGCTCCTCTTTTGTTTCACAAAGCTGGCATGCACAGCATACGTGCTGCTCCCAAAACAATCACACTGTAACCCAGCTCAGGTTTCCAAAGGGACAAAACTTCTCTGTAGAAAATCTGACAGCGCAAACTCATATCTGCTGTACTTCATATTCTGGGGGGTGGATTTGGTTGTTTGTTTTGTTTTGTTTTGTTTTATTATTATTTTCCAAAGCAGGATGTTATTCATTGTGAGCTGAAAACCAACATGCTCTGATCTCACTGTGTAACTGCAGTCATGCTGGGTGTTCCTGCCAGTCTCCAACATCACCAGGGAGCTTTAATATGAAAAGATGAGCCCTAGCTGGGGCGTTGGTCAAGAGGATGGAAATTTTAAATCTTGCTCTTTTATTAAAATTTCAAATTCTGCTGGAAAAAAAAAAAAGAAAGGAGAAACCCTTTCCCCTTCCCTGCCACCATCACGAGTATTTCATTTCAGTTCAGTCCGCTGGGGTCCTTTGGTTTAGAGGTTTATTTATGTAGAAAGAAGCCAAATCTAGAGTTTCCTACAACCACAGTTGGAGCTGATGTTTCACAGTTTTGATTTGGTGTTTTTTTCAGTCCTCTTACAACAGTGTCAGTGTCCAAATCCTGATCATACTAACAAGTGCTCTGACCCGTGACGGTTTTCTGCAGGCTTTGCAGCAGAACCTGCCAGGTGACACTGAAACTTCCAAGACCCACAAGCACTGTACATGTCCCGTAGCCTTGGTCCCCAAGGCCCTTTTCTGTTCCATACAGCCAGTTCCTGCCATCGTGAGCAAGGATGTAGGCCGATTCAGTCTCTGTGTTTATAAAGAGCTGTCACCAAGCAGCATGGTATTTGATGACATTTAATTTCTGGGCAGAGGGGGGTGCATCTGGGGAGGGTTGTTCTTTCGCAATCATTAAGTGAAAGGGAGAGAACATTTCTACCACTGCCAGCCAGTGACTGTTACCTAGTAGTCAGTACTAACCACAAACAGTGAAAAGTTTGAGCTATTTTCCTTAGGAACATTTTCTTTTTTCTTCTTTTTTTTCCCTGCCTTTTTTTCTTCCTTCTTTTTTCTTCCCTTCCCCTCCAGCACTCATCACTTATTGTCAGGCTTCTCTTAACCATAGTGGGGTTTTCCATATCGCCCCACTTTATTTCCCTGCTCCCCATTGCTGTTTCTTTAAGGTTAGGTGGCTTACAATCTGGTTTGTTTTCTGAAGATCATTCACAGAGGCAGACTTCTCGCAGTAGATTGTTCTGTCAAGTCTGCCCAGTGGCTGAAATGTTCCGCTGCTTCCCAGAAAATACAATTGATGGATTGTCACTGTTTCTATTATGGGCTTTGGATGCCTAGGTTTGATGGAGCAGAGTGGCTTTTGCAGGCTGGAGGTTGGGTAGGCTCCTTCTGGGTTGCAGGCTTAGTGCCATCTCACTTTCTGGCATGATCCCAGTGGGGTGGGCTGCAGGTTTGCCTCTCCCACACCTATTAGAGGACTGAAAAGGGGGCACGGGACCATAGGTTGACCATCCAAGCACCTTGCATGGGTATGATGTGTGGTTACATATGCACCAGGTATTTGGATAAAGAAAAACCTTATAGGGGTGCGCATGGGGGTCAGCATTTGCTCATCTATATATATGTGTGTATATACTTGTGTACTGATTCATAGGTACATATGAATATGCATAAATTCACACTAAATACATGTCTATGCACACTTGCATATAGTATATATTTCTATACATTTTCTTTTCTACATTCATATGCATGTATGTAATCATAGAATGGTTTGGATTGGAAAGCACCTTGAAGATCATCTAGTTCAAACACCTTCCACTAGAGCAGGTTTCTCAAAGCCCCATCCAACCTGTCCTTGAACACTGCCAGGGATGGGGCAGCCTCAGCTTCTTTGGGCAACCAGTGCCAATGTCTCACCACCTCACTTCACAGAGAACTTCTTGATAGATATTGTATGAATAACCCACACTGACTACCATATTCACATATCAATCCCCAAGGCAGCTAGAGAAACCAAAACTGAGAGATGATGGTTTACAAAGGACTGGCATAAATCTTTTTTAAAACCTTTCAGATTTAGAGGCCAGGATCTTTTGGATTTAGGGCACAGATCTGTGGAAATGTAGGATGCAAGTATCAGGATAAATCAGCATGGGTGTATGCATGACTGGAGAGGGCGGTGCTGACTGACCCCTTGGTGGGAATCAGTCTGTGATGTGGATAGCATTCATGTGTAAAAGCTCCTAAAGCTTTCCTGATCTGTTATTAGTGGCAGTAACACGCAGCTCCCTGGCTATGGCCAGGATTCTGGGAAGCAGCTATTTCATCAAATAGAGCTGGGCTGCAAGCTGACTGTATACCCTGAGCATAGCAGGATGATCTCAGTTTATATTGTCTCTCTCTGCCTGTCTGCTTTTTTAGAATTCAGATTGCAGATAGGACAGGGGAGGGAGCAATGACATCTGAGATGCATGCAATGAAATAATGAGACATGAAACTTAACTCAAGAAGGAAATTTGCTTAGGAGGGAAAGAAAACACCCAACATTCTGGATATTATATTGGCATTGCCTCTCTACTAATATTACATCCATTTCCTTTCCCGTATTTCTTTCCACTTCTTTACACTGGCTATCAGATGATGACTTTATACGTATACATATATAATATTGTTGGTAAATATGTTTTGACTTTGTTTTGTTGTTGCTGGTTTTAATAATACCTGGGCTTTAACCAATACTTTTGCCACTTGGAAACCTTACAACTAAGTCTAAGCAAACAGGTCAGTCCCTGGGCTGAGGGAAGAGGGGAGATGGAAAAGCTCACTACTAGTCTAACATCAGAAAGCTCTGTACTTTGAGATCATTCAGAGCTACTGTAGCTTTAGGAAAGACTGGGATGATTCAGACCCAAAGTTCCAGAGCTTATACAACGAGGTGGGCAGGTCTCATCAGCAAGAGCCTTGTGCATAGAAAGGCAGCAGGAGCTCTTCCCGTGCTCTTGGTCTTGGTACAGAGCTAACCAGTTACCCTACTTTTACCCAGTCCAGAGCAGGTACCCACCACACACCTCTGCCTGAAAATCACTGTAGATACACTCTGCCTTTTCCTGTTGCTAAGGGGGACTGCTCCATAGCAGTTTCTAGGTATTTGTATCAGCCCTACTCTTCTAACACACCAAAATCCTTCACCAAAAGCCCATTCAGATCTATAATTATCGGTGTCCCCACTTTGCTTCTGGAACATATAAGTGCAGAGATAGGTCTTTACCCAAGATGACTGCTCCCAAGATCACCATCAGGGCTTGCACAGCAAAGCTGAAGGACTCTTTCACTTGGGAGTCCACTTCTTATGGAGATGCATTGCCCTTGGCCAGCACATCAAAGACTTGGTGACAATTTGGAAAGCAACCTGCCCCTGGAAAAGGATAGGGTACAGAACCATGAGAGAAAGCAACACATCATCATCCGGCTCTGAGTCATGTCGCCATCCAATTTACAACCTGTGTGGCTCCACTCTCCATGGGGAACACCTGCTAACAACTTTTTCCATCCTGGCACCTCTGCCCAAACACTAACATCTTTGCAAAAGTTAGGGGAAACCCGACGTTTCTGTTTCTATTAAGAGCCACAGTTCCTCTCCACCCCCATCCCTCTGATAGCTACTCTCAACATTTTTTTCCCCTCCTCCAAGTTAAGATTTAACTGGTTTATGAGAGGAATAAATACTCTCTCTCTACAGTCCAGCCTTCCAGCAACTTGGGAAAAGTTAGCACTTTGGCCAGAGCCTTCTGCATGCTCTGAGCTGTGCATTTAATTTAAATTTAATAGTTATTGCACGTTACACAAATGGAGATTAAAACCATATTGATTGAGGTTTAGCAGCTATGTGAGAAATGCAGATCTTATTACAGAGTTGATCCATATCCAGAGTGTGCTTTTAATAACTCCCTGCTCATCAAGGGGCAGATTGAAGAGAGAGGGAAAGGAAAATGCAAGGTTGGGAGGTACAGGCTGGAGGAACAATGGTAAAGTTGTGGATCAGGCAACTCTCACTTGCTTCCCATCTCTCATACACGCATCCACAGTATGAGATCTCTGCACCGAGGTCCTGCTGACCTACCCATCTATACATCAAAGTAAACTTACATTATGCAAACATTTTTTGCATATACAGACATGCAAACAAACCTATAGAGACCACACCCATACCACGTGCTGAAGAAGCAGATAAACATGTTGGCTGAGATCTCAAAAGATAAATTTCTGTGGTAGGATGTATTGCCGTAAGGGCTCTCTAGGTCAGGACCTGCTGTACAGCCATGTGAAAACCCCACAAGCTGTCAAAAAAAAAAAGGTTATTTGTTATTCTCTCATATATTTCTGCCACCCCCTTTTAAAAAAGCTGCAAAGTTGATTTGATGAAATAGCAGAAGTAGACAAACTCTTGTGTCCTAGTTTGTGTGAGATAGTGACTGAAAAGAGAAAATGAACCAGGAAAATAATAACTGCGCTGAAATCATCCTGCTGAGAGCAGTGTAAACCTTTTTGAACCAACTGTTTGCTTTTGCACAAGTCTTTGCTTTGCACAATTTGCTCAGTTTGCATGCTTCACACAGAAGTGAAAAGCAGTGCTAGTAAATACTATAGAGACAACGAATGTATAATTTTTAAGGTGAGACAGATAAAGATATGAAACATGCAGGATTACAAGGGGAAACGTAAGGGAAGAAAAACCACCAACCAACAAACAAACGAACGAAACCCAAAAAAAAACAATCCTAGACATGCTTGCAGAAACTCATAATCTTACTATGATGATTTCAAATGACTCAATAAATCTGGGCTACCCTTGGGCAGGGTTTACCCAGTGCCACAGGCTTTTCTTCTGTGTGAGGAAAATAAAGTTAATGGTGTTTAAGACCCCCTATAGAAATCACCTCCTTTACATGAAAGACTAAGGAAAAGCATGTTCAAAACATTACACTGTGCTCATTCCTCTCAGCAACCCAGATACAGACTCAGAAAGCTGCACATTTTGCTTTAAATGCTCCAAGGAATAAGGATTCAGTAATGCTGCGACTCTGAGATATTTCAAATAAAAAAGAATTTATGAAACTTTATAGGTTTTCATCTCTACACCCCTCTGACCATCTGAGCTGTTTACAGGTTTGATTTTGTACATCTCTACCTCTCTCTGCCACAGACATCAGATATTGCAGAAAAATCATTTTTTTGGCAGATGCTTAACAAAGACACGGAAGAGCCTAGAAAAAAAAAGATTTATTTTTTTTTTTAATCGTACTACTACATCTTTTAAGGTGCCACTGAGCCATTTACAAATTTTAAGGGAAACAGTAATTTTTATTAAGAAAGAAAACATTTTTGGGTTTTGTGTTCTACTTTATGACAGTTTTAGTTGGAAATGAAGGAGAAAAATTGTTCCAGTTTGGTCAAAATGTTCTCTTTCGCCCAAACTGAAGTCGTTTCAATTATTAAAAAAAATCTGGGTATTTTTTTACATAAGAATGAAAAAAAAAACTCCAAAATTAATAGCTGCTTCAGATCAAAAGAAAGAATCTAAACAGGGAATTGACTAAAGAAAGCTGAAAGTGGTAATTTTCTTGATCCTTTTAGGTTTGGTTTTTTGTTTTTTTTTTTTAAAGTCCTTGCAAAATCTGTGTGTATTTGCAAAACATTCTGGTACCACCATATTGCAGTTTTCAAGTCTCCTTGAAAAGTATTTTTACGAGAAATGTAACCCAGCTCTGCAAACAAGAGAGATATACAAAGATAGCCAGACTTTCATTGGCCCAGAAAATTCGTCTGGAAAGCTCCTTCACTTTCCAGCACTACTTGGGTTTGGCCCTAAGAATGAGCGGAATATACCACAAAGAAACCCTTTTGCAGTGTTTTAATGCATGCTTGCTCATTATTTCTTCTCTGTTCTGCATCCTGGCCCGCATCTCTCTTGGAGATCATCTCTTCTGGGGATGGTACAGGCCCGGGGACTTCAAATATCTCACATCCCCTCTTCTGATGAAACGTTTCCTTGGATCAAGGCTATAAGTCTTTTCCTAATTCTGAAATACCCCTTACACTCTCAGGCACTGATTCATTTCTGTTAAGCAAGCTGCCAAACTCACATCAACCTGGGGCCAGTGTCTCTGAAAGGATGGACAGGAGGGAGAAAGGTACTCTTTCCACTCTTAAAAGCAGCCCCAGCCTGCCTGGGAATATCCTGTGCTTACAGACTGACATGAAGCGTGATAAATAAAGAGGAGAAAAAAAGAGCAGAGCTGCCTTTAGAAGCGAGCTATGGCCACATGGCATTTTAATTATGCTTATCTCTGGGGTCCACTCAGAAGCACTGAAGCAAACTGTTAATGGGGCATTGACCCCATTATAAGCTTGGCCATGATTTTTACGTGCAAGGCAGCATGTCTCAGCAACTAGCTCCTGAGAAAATATCTGTGGTAGCTGCATATAACAGCCTCTCCTAGGCAGGGAGGCTTTGGAGAAGGAAGACAGACCTGACAGCATCCTCTAGCTTTTCCTCACAGTGCACACTTGTGAGTATGCAATGTGTATGACATCAGACCTCTGCACTCCCTGCTATGCAGGGGGGGCAAGAGAGTGTGTGAGAAAGCACCATTTATAAAGGGAAATTGCTATGCCATGGACTTTAGCTGTTGTGAATTTGGAGGGGAATCCCTCAAGGGGGGTGACACTTCCTCAGCTCTCATGCAAAGCAATTGTTGACTGGCATGACCTGAAATCCACAGGTCATGTTTTTCTCAGAAAGGACCTCAGGCTACTGAATTTGGAGTCCCTTCAGGTTTGTGGACCTGACATATGGGAAAGATGCAGAAATTCCTTTCAGACATGGCAGTGATTTCTCATGTTCAGGGTCCTGACAATCTGTTCTCCTCCGTGGTCAGCCCAGAGCCAGGGGTTTGGAGTAGGTCCATAATTTCTTTTAGAATAGGGTCTTACGCAGAGCTGCTAACATTCATCAGCCAATGTCTATATTGTGGAAAAGTTACAGACTGGTAGAAATCCAAAGCAGTGAATTGCTACCAAGGCAGTGCTATACAGCACTGTACAAACCAGAGAGTTTTTTATTGGCTTGCTTCCAGGCACGGTCCAGCTGTGGCAGTACTCTAATGGTGAGCACCAAGTATTTGCAATTAACAACAGCTGGGGCACAAAAATGAGCTGCCAGGGCTCTTCACTGCATCCAGATCATGGCTTGCATATGCTTATACTTCAATGGGCCCTCTTCTCTGCCACTGCTTTATTTCATCTACCTTAGATGCTCGTCTTCTTCTGGTGAAATCAATGAACTTCTAACAGCGCCTGTTAGCAGCTGTGATTGATAAGAGCTTGAAGAGAATAGCTCAACCCTGAATATCTAACTTGTAGATGCCTGAAATACATCAGGAGAATCCCACTTTTGATCTTCCTTTCTTTCTTTGTCATTAGGCCCAAAATTCTTTTCCTTAACCAGAATCTTTGGGCTCAGGCAGAGCTCATCTGAGTCAAAACCTGCATATAAGATGTCAGATTAGATAATTAAACAGACTTAAGGTCTGTAAAACAAGTACTCATCACACTCAGTGGCATGAAATGATGATAGATCATCTAGGAGCCTATGGCCTTCTTTACTTATCCCCAGTAGAGCGTAGGCTGAGCAAGGCAAAGGGCTCTGGTTATCTGGGTTTGAGCAGAATTTCTCCTCTTTAATTTTTTTCTGGTTCTTTTGTGCCTGTCACAAGGGTATCAGGGCATTTTGGTTGAATATCTTTCTAGTGCAAGAGGGAAATGGGTGACATGTTAAGTAGTTGTGGAAACTTTGGAGTAATACAATCCAAACCTCCAGTGACTCTCTGTACTTATCTGGATTGTTTACTAAGACCTTGTGCTTGAGAGTAATTTGAAATTGTGCAGCCAAAATTTTCAGGATGGAGCTCCTTTTTCTTCACTGTAACCAGCTGAGATAGGCATCTCATAGAATCATAGATTCATAGAATAATTAGGGTTGGAAAGGACCTTAAGATCATCGTTCCAACCCCCCTGCCATGGGCAGGGACACCTTACACTAAATCATATCACCCAAGGCCTCGTCCAACATGGTCTTGAACACTGCCAGGGATGGAGCATTCACAACCTCCCTGGGCAACCCATTCCAGTGCCTCACCACCCTAACAGGAAAGAATTTCCTCCTTATATCCAATCTAAACTTCCCCTGTTTAAGTTTTAACCCGTTACCCCTTGTCCTATCACTACAGTCTCTAATGAAGAGTCCCTCTCCAGCATCCCTATAGGCCCCCTTCAGATATCTAAGCAAAATATCTAGGTTCCCTCCATAGAAGCCAGACTGGACTTTTTCAACATTCAAATTTATTAACCCCATTTTAAGAAATGTATCTGTTATTTAAAATAGGTGGCATCTGACATCACACAGGAGCTTGTACCATAATTATGCTGAAAAGGGAGTTATCTCTATGGAGTTGTCTCTATGCACCCGAAGACAATTTGCCAGCTCTATGCAGTCTTTTGAGCAGATACCTAAGAGGCAATCACCACTTGCTAAATTGGAAATAAATCACAATAAGCTTACAAAAGTTCTCATGGCTTGCTAAAACACTGATCCATAGCTAGGATGGTGAGTCAGGGGCAAATCCCATAAAACTCAAAATGAAAGATTTCCTACTGACTCCCACAAGCTTGCAATACTGTCTCTTGTATTCACTAAATTTCAGTTATTTTTGCCTGGGGCCTCCTCAAGAATCACTACTCAAATTTCTCTGTGCTTGAAAGGCTCAGAAAGAAAGCACTGAAAGGGAAAGGGGCCCACCATGGGCTTGGTTTAGCCTGGCAGGTTTCTGCCCACTTCAGAAACCTTCAAGTATGTGAGCGCAGGAGGGAAATTGCTCTCTAAAAGTATTTTTACTGAGATGCAATGTAGGCCAATGGTGATGACAATGGAAACCTGTAGCGCCTGGAAGGAATGAAACTAAGCGAAAAAATTGTTTGGATTGAGAAAGATGAGAGGGTGTTCGGGGGTTGAAAGCATATGGTGGCCACCTTCAGTTGCCCTCATGCCTGATCTTGGAGGCTTAGGCACATGCATATGCAGCAGTGCCCCACATCATTCTCAAGGAAACAACATGGGCCAAATTCTCAGTGAGATCTAACATACTGACAGGTTTCAAAGTAGGCAAAGATCTCCATCCCCCCACCTCTTACTAAAATATAACATAATAGTTTCTTGTAGGCTGGATATGACCTGTGTACACTACACAGGATACCCAGACAGGCTTTCTTGGAACCAGAAAAACACTTTAGTAGCTGGATGCCTTTAGTATGTGCCAGGATATCACCTACTCAAATACCCCTAGAAATAATGCCCACGCTGAGTACTGTACTGCCCTGTGTGGGTGGCTTGGGGACAGCACTGTACCACCATCTATCTCATGCACTGTTGATATAGCTGTGTTTTCCTGGTGTAAAGAGGTGAAACAGATTGGTGAACGGTATTGAAGACACCTTCTCCTGTTGTCTCTGTACCAGAGGTAAGGGGTTCTTCAATATGTTGAGATTCAAATGAAGTTTGTGCTGGGGTATCCTAACCTTGGCCAGGCAAATGGCTTTTCCTAGCAAGAAAATGCCCTGTTGTAGTATGATTCCCACAGGTCTACACTGCACAGGGCCTCACACTACCAGCCAG